ATTACCATCAGAGTATGACTATAACAATTTTATTTTGTTGCTGTCCTGTTGTGTTGCTCTAGGTTTTAAGGACTCTAAGATCAAAATGATTTCGAGCAATGGGAAAATATAATACAAATTGTGCGGTAACAATAGGGCTCCAGCACCTGCAGTGGCTGGATCCCTAATTAACTCTCAAGTCTCAGTGTCAGAGAAGATAATCCTGATTAAAAAGTGATGGCGGCTGGGGGAAGAACGACAACACAGTAATCAGAGATACCACTCACGGTTGGGGAGATTAGAACCACCAGAGGGTCGGGGGCTACCCCCTTGCTGCTGTCACCCTTTTGTTTATGGCTCTCATCCATGGAAGCAGGATGGCTCTGGATATTCTTTGTAATCAGATTTTTGTTCTAGGTCAGGAAAGAAAGAGCCAAGTTGCTGATTGTGACCCAATAGATCATAATGTCCCCAAGCTTTGTAAAACAAAACATACAACACTGAATTATTATTTGATTGGGTTGGAGAGGTCTTGGGCCAGGTGGTCACTAGACAATGGGACATCTGATTTGGCGTCAGAGACGAAATTTCAGAGGCAGCATGTCATCTGGGTCGTTATGGAAACTCCACCCCCTTGCTGTGTGTGTGTGTGTGTGTGTGTGTGTGTGTGTGTGTGCGCTGGGGGGGGGGGGGGGTCACTTTAACCCATTTAAATAGGCATTCCATGTTCCATGACTTCTGATTGATTCAATGCATGTTTGACATAATGACTTGTTGAGTTGTGGATCAAGGTGATTCGTAGCACTGAAAATGCACTAAGTGGACAGGGCGCTCCGAGGGATTGTATTCTACCCCTAACAGTCGCTGTTATGACAGAGATGCCAAGTTTTATTTATCAATAGGCTGAAACACCACCTGCATATTCAGAGAGTGTTTGCTGAGTCCTTCCAGCAGTTGCCTATTAGTTTATCAGGTGGTGGAGGGAGTTGGGCAAGCACAGAGGCAGTTAAGAAGAAGGATTTTTGTAAAGGGGAATAATTAAGGCTGTTATCTATTAGCTGATACAAGGAGATAGTGTTGATAAAAGGAAACAAGGAAGGAGCCAGCGCTAGTCTGATCATGGTTGCAGCCTGATGCCACTAAGTGGGAGCATTTAAAGACATGCACATTATAGAAAGGGAGGTATCACATACACCTGGATAAAAAAGTGTGAGGAAGTGGTAAAAACAGGTAAGGAAAAAAAGCGATTCGATTCAAAGTCCTAATAATAAGTTAATTTTGAAGTATTTTGTGATTAAAGTAACAAAACCATGTCTCAGTGTGTTTTATCCCAACGACTCCTGGGGAGTGTCCTTCAGCTAAAAGCACCATCTGCATAATTTGCATGCTCATTAGAAGTTTATAATAAATTAAAGTGTCAGCTATTAAGCTAAAATGTGGATACAGTGACAAAAACATGAAGCCTAATAAGGATGCACCCTGTCCACACTGGTGATTCAATCTTATAGCCAAAGGCAAGGGTGGGGAGTATCTGGATTTACCCCACCCACCACCCCCAAGGCAGTCCCTTTGACATTTGTCAACTTACAGCCCCCAATCTGTAGTCTCAACAGGCGGTAGGTAGGGCTAAAAATACAAGGACAGAAGGGAAGACAAAAGCAGGTCTGGCATGTAAATAGGGCTTGGTGTTCACAGTTCCCCCATACTTGCCCTTGGGTTAGTGTGGTGAAAAAAGGAGGGAGAGACAGGGACAAAGGAAGCAGAGAGGACAGCGAGTGTTGGATGAAGAGTTGGCGAGAGAGACTGAGAGAAAGAGAGGAGCAGGCAGGGGGGAAATGGAGTCCGGGGCTTAGAAACAGGAGGAAGATGGAAAGCAGAGGGTCCCCCATTTTCATGGAGATAAAAGAGCGTTAATGAATTTGAACCACTGCCCTCCGGGGATATACCATAAGGGCAAAAATAGGAAGGAGCAGATTGGGGTTTAGTTGCTTTTTATACCACAGCCAAACTGTCTTTTGGGCACACAGGGGTGCTCCCAATTTCGCAATCACTAAGATGGCTGTTGTCCCGTTTGCCAACTGCCGCGGGTGAGGCTTGTGCCAGCGCTCGGAGCAGAGAGGATTTGTTGCCAGAGGAGATATGCCTAACTGGCTGGGCTAGATCCACTTCTCCAGCCAACGAGATCATTTATCTGCCCATCGTACTCAGTTTTAGTTACCTCATGTGCTCAGCACTGGTTTTGCTGCTGTGGTGATTGCAGTGTAACAGTATTAGAAGCCTTAACCCGTGTGACTCAGTGGTGCAAAATGGTATCATTACTGCAGGTTAAGGGGCATATTTTCTCCTTGTTGTAGACTTTGGCTCTTTGACGTAAAGGGTTTCATTCTGGAAACTGTTTTATTCATGGTGCTATAAACTGCTTTTGATAAGTGTCCACCAGCTGGGACATTTTACATTGATTTTGTTGATTTGATTGCGATGATTGAGGCTTTGGTTGACCACAAAGCTAACATGGAGCAATGTTTTGGAACACCAAGGACCTTGAGCTTGCCCAGAGCCCAAATCTACAACCTGTATCTATCATTTTTACAATGTGTAGTTTTACAACAACGGGAGACCAACCATTGCCTGTGGCATCTACCCCCATGTGGAGGTAATGGTCTGGCCCCTAGGCTGCAAGCCTAGCCAGTTAATAATGGAGTCGGCCTCTCCATTGTAAATCACAGAGGGGTCTTGTGTGTTTGACGCCTTCGGGAGGATTGCATGGGAATGGCATGTGTTATGAAGGGCAGCCTGGTTTTAGTGCATGCAGACACTAGAAGAAAGAAAAAAGGCAGCTTTGTGCATGATGGATGGTGGCCTTTGCTTCTGTTTGTGTCATATGGGATCTGAATATTAAAAGGGAACCAAAGAGATGAGACATGAGCTGGGTTGTCACATTTCTGTTCATTCAAAGGCAGTTTGATTTTTGTTTTATTCTTCTGTGGTATAGACATTTTATTTCAATTAGCAGTTGGCTGAAAACGTTGTGGTTTCTCACAGCTTTGATTTCAAGACACGCCTTTGAGCTTAGAAAATATTGTGTGGAAGACAAGATTTATGAAAGAGGTAACAACAATTGTAACTACAGACATTATGGTTATGGTTGTCCAGATACTTGCATTGGCTCTGACAAAAGGAAAAACTATCAGATAAACTGGTTCAATTTTAGCCAGCTGATCATATTTCTTTGCCGTAGAATCATGGTATATAACAATCATTGAGAAAGGATTAAGTAAAGAGTGTCTTTTTATGTATGGAATAAGCAGTAACTTGAACCTATTTGGAAGATATTTCAAGCGTAACATTTTTGCTAAAATACCTCTGTCACACCGACAGTCAACCTTAAGCCGCTCAGGCAGAGTGGAGTTGAACATAGTATGTTTAAAAAAAGAAGCCAGGAGGAACCTTGAGGAACCTGGGCTATTCTTTGAAGTCAGCTATTTTCCTTCACTTCAAGTGCGTCACTCACTTCAAAGCAGGAATTTCACATGAAATGTTCTGATTTTCCCCCCGTCCTTTTTTGTGTGTGTTGAATTTACAGCACATAAAACGGGTTGTGGAGACTTAGTCAGAAGGTATCTCTAACCCAAGATGACTTTCTGTGTATAAATGTGTGTATGCTTTGTTCCTGATGTATAGCAGGACCAACATAGCTACGTGTGTGATCGTGTAGATATCCTGTGGAAGATGCAGGGAGGTGGTTGCAGGCTTGCTTCTGTTTATTAGATGGAATCCAGAGACTGTCCATGACCTCCCACATGGCTGTCAGATAGTTTGAACCCTTCCTGGTTATGGTTAAAGATGTGCTTAATGAGTATTACTCTTGAGAAGGAAAGGTTGGACGCCCTGGTTACAAAAAAGAAAAAATCACCAGAGCCACTTTAGCTTCTTAAAATTCAACTTCCAAGTCTGTAAAAACCAAATATGCCCCAATTACAACAAAACTTCTGCGCGCTAATGACTTTGATGTCAATGAGATTAAAGGCATGCGTGGTGAAAAATGGCTGGCATACCGTGGGAAATTAGCTTTTGCATGTGTGCACTGAGTTCAGTGGGGTTTGCACAGAGGGGTTTTAGTGGTTATTAGCCTGCTCAAGCACCTTTAATTTTTTCTGCCACGATTGTAATTGGAACCTCTACTTGATGCTTCCCACTTAAATAGCTGGAGCCAGTGCTGGCACACAAGCTTGTAAACAGATGAGGGTGTCCTCTCCACTAACCACAGTAGCACTGGACTTGAGTGTGTGTGTGTGCTCACACATAGTACACATACTCAACTGTCTGCATGTGTCTGCATTAGTTTGTGATCATCAAATCATTTGTAACAGCGACCGTCTGTGCATGCGAGATCGTGTGTATCACTCACAGCTGCAGCCTTGTGTGTGTGTGTGTGTGTGTGTGTGTGTGTGCGTGTGTGCGTGTGTGAGTGCGAGTCTGGCAGGGTAGTGAGGTGCTGTCCTTTTCCAAACATGAGCGGTGAACAATGGAGGGTTGTGTCCTGTTCAGCTGCAGGGGTCAGAGAGAGGAGAGTCTGTTACAGGCAAGCGATCCATCAGATTCCTGCATGGACTTATTTGTGGACCCCCAACAGTCCATCACCTCTTACCTCATATTCACCTACTAGAATAAAGTCCTTCTGGCTCCACAGTCTTATTCCAGAGGTGACTTTGGCCCACAGTCTTCAGCTTCAATCTATCTGCCAAACAACACTGTAATTGACTCTTGAATAACAAACAGGAGGACACTTTGCCCTTCACTAACCAAGCAAGATAGTGCAATTCAAAATCTACTGTTGTTCACTTTGACAATGCAAATTAGATCTGATGTACTTAAGATGTTTCCAGGAGTTCAAATTCTTGCCCACCGGCATTGACCTCCAAGAAACCCCCCCTCACAAAGTCAATTTGCACTTTGACTTTGAAAAGCTGCCAAATGCATGAGATATTTTTACCCGAGTCCATGATCTCGCTTGATCTGAGTCAGTGCAGGTTGTTGGCTGAGGCGATTGCTTGCACTTGACCTGTTGGCGCGGGCGGCGTGGGCACGCTACACTGGTTGCTGCGAAAGGGAGGAGGGGTGAATGAACAGAGTGGGGAGAAGAATTTAGAAACGTCTGTGCCGTACAAGAGTTTGACGGTAAGAAAGAAGAGAGAGTAGAAGGAAGGAGGTAGATGGAAGGATTCCTCTGAGACCACGGCTGCCAGTCCTGTCAAGGAAAAGACTGGAAAGGGAGGAAGAGAGTGCATTAAAAAAGGAGGGAGGAACTTGTGAGAAAAGGGGGGAAAAAAGAAAGTCAATCTCGACAGAATCAGGCAAAGGGGAAATTGACAAGGAAACATTATTACAGGGATAGTGAGCAGTCAGCTGAAAAAGAAGAAGCACTCTGAGTCTGAAAGAGCAAATATTTTGACCTCCTTGTTTGATGTGGGTCTCATCAGATTTTAATGATGCTCCACTTTGCCGTAGGGCAACTGTATACCACTCTTAGATAAGTATGTCAGCAAATCGCATAGTAGGGCAATGCAAGGACACGACATGATACCCCACAAGAGAAGACAACTACCCCCTTTTTCTTCCCCTTATTAACGCGTCCCTCCCCCTCCCTCACTGTTGAGGGATGAAATACTGTGAGTGCAAAGCTCTACAGCTGTAATCTTCCCTTACAGCCTATTCAAAGACAAAGCCTTTCCCCCTCATTTCAGACCTAATGTATCACACCCACACACTTTTGTCACGGCAACCCCCTTACTGCTCACGGTGCCTCGTTTGCAGTTGCTGCCTTTGGGTGACCTCTGTGCTGGAAGAAAAGGGACTAAAGGCCACTGATGGAAATAGTAGCAGCTGGTTAAGGCAACAGGTGATCTGCAGTGCTATATACAGTTGAGACAAGATTCAATTTAATGCAGTCTGCACCTGATTCAGAGGCTGCTCTTGGACTAATACGAGTCCCTTTGATTCTGTTTGAACTCTAAATCTTACCAACAAGGTGCAGTGTCACTTGCCTTGTCAAGACATGTTTCTTATCATTTTCTTGAGCTGTGGTGAGGTGTTGTTGATACCAGGTGACTTATCTACCCCTCTGCTGTCATCTTTCGGCAGCATCTAGCTAATCACCTGGCACTCCTCAAGAAGTGAGATGACACCTCTTGATGTAAGCTTTGGTCTCTCTGTTCCTGCTGGCAAATGTCAGCTGAGCCCGCATTTGACATGATGTGCTGCACACCAAGCTCCTTCTCTCTCCCTCCCTTTTCCCTCTCTCTTCAAATTAGCTCGCGCATGTTGGGTAATGTAGTTTGTAGGTCCTCATTGCATGAATCACTTCATGCATTGACGAACCATGACGACGTACGCTGGCAATGACTGTCACCTGACGCTGTCATCTTGTCCTTCACACGTCAGCTCACATTTCATGGTAGGGAGCAGTTCTGACAAACGGAGACTTTACACTGTAGAACAAGTCAGTCTCTCAGTGAAGAGTGGTGATTGGATTAGCATCGTGACATTGCTTTTGATGTCTTAGAGAGGAGGATGGAAACCCCTTTGAAGATGCAGAGTGCAAACAGCTGTTGACAATTTGGGGTTTCTTGTGACAGGAATGTTGTAGTGCTTTAGCACGGCAGCATTTTCTTGCTATATTCAGGCCAGCCTCGCTATATTCACACCCTCGCCCCTTTCAACTTACCACATCTCTAAAGGCCTGTGGCGCTCCGCAGCATTGTAGTATGGCATTCAAGAGGGATTGTCCCCTTTGCCACTACAGTCCTTCATGTGGCTGTGTTGTATTTGGTTTTGGCAGCTCAGCTGTCTTGTTTAGAGCTCAAACCACTGTCACGTGGTCTTTAGATGTATCTTTTGAAACAGAGACTTTTTCTTTTTTCAGGCTGTAATCCAGTGTGAGTCAAGACTGGATAATAGCAGTTCCAGACTTAGATGAGATGCACGGAGGGTTTTTATTCTATTCAGAGGTGTAGGTGTCTAAACTTAGGCGCATTCATATCCCACACAATGCAAAGCACTCAAGCAAGCATATAGTTGCTTTGCGGAGCGAGTCCGAAAGCTACTGCTATACTTAGTCAATGAGGGTTGTGGTATTATTCTTCTGCTGAGAAAGACTTTTCTCTTTTTTGAAAAATTTTAGTGAAGAAGAGGATTTACAAAGGATACAACGTCTGACTTTATATTTCATTTATCCAGGTCAACACATTCTCTCCTGAGAGCTTCCTGTTGCAGCTTCTTTCTACCAGAGGACTATCTTGTACGTAGGGGCAGCAAAAATTCAACCTCACACAATGCAAAAGACAATATAAGTATGTTTCAGTGAGCTCTGGCTGACAGTCAGTCGCTCAATGACAGCTACTTGTTGGCTCTTTTTTCAGAGTACAAGAAAATTTCAAATATCAGGTTGCAGCTTGCCTTTCTTGCATATTTCAGGAGTGTTGTATCCATACGTGCATGAGAAAGATGCTTTCCTCTCAGTGACAGTCCCCTCACCCCTGCATGTTCTGTGTGTGTAAGTGTGTTAGGATTGGGTGTTTGAGCGATCAAAATGGCTTACTTTGGAAAACACCACACACAGATGTTTATTGGCCTGATGATGTACAAATCAGAGTTATCTTAAGGAGCTTTGAACACCATTAGCTGGCTGCATTTTTCCACCAGCTGACAATTCCATATGTTTGTGGAAAGCCCTGAAAAAAAGGCTTGACATATGTAATTCAAAAGCCGACCCTGTGGCATTGAGAGCTTCACTGAGTGGTGATTCTCCTGATGGTCATTTTAGCTTCAAGGGGTACTTTAATCTGTTTCCTCATCGCAAAGTGTTTTTACTCATTCACAAACTGAGCTGTCTGTCCGCTGCATATTAAAACACATGAAAAAACTGCACATATGCCCGCTTCAAAGTTTAATTACATCTTTTGAAATTGATCAAAAAAAGCCACAGTAAAAAAAAAGCACTGTATGACAGGACGCAGTCAGTGTTTGTTTTTAGACAAAAGAGCAGGGAAAGGCAGGCACGGCCAGAGAGACCAACGACAGCTCAAAGGGTCAAAGAAAGCAAAACCGCTTTCAACTCCAGGCCTTTGTTGAATTTAATTCCATCTTATGTTCCTAAAAAAAAGCCAGAACATGTGTGGCAGGATGGTAAAGTCTGGGTAAATTTTGTTGTTCCCTTTCTTCCCTGCAGTCATAATGTTTTAATTTGGCACCAGCCCCCCCTGGTTGTGAATTTCCGTCGCCTGCTGCCGCGTAAACAAAACACATTTAGCATAATTGCACCTTTGGTGTAGGCCTCTCTTCAAGGCAAGGTATTGATTTTCTCTCTGCCTGTGTCTCTCTCCCACTCTGCTCTTTGTTTTTCTTCTCTTCAGCTTTATTTTCCCTTTTGCATTCCTCGGCCAGAGCGTTCGCTGGCACACTCTCTCTCGCCTTTCTCTCTCTGCGTCCCCTGCCCTCCCCGCGCCGCTCGTTCCCTCTTTCATGGATGGCGCTTGAGTAGAAAAATAGCAACAAGAATGCAATTCGATTACAGTAGCCAAAATAATGTTCACCCACATGACACTGGGCGCCTGCCTGCCAACCAGTCGATCTCTCGCTTTTATGTTGAAGTTGCATCTGCTGCATCCAGAGCTGTTCGGAAGCAGAGAGAAGATCATGCTAAGAAAACACTTGTAGCTGTGATTTATCGTGTTGATTTGTTAAAGGACGCTATAGCAGCTCTGCAGCGTGTAGGAGGAATCCTGCAGACGGTTTCCTCTCTGAAATTGGAGACGAGTGCAGTGGAGCTGCTTGGAGTCCTACTGTGCATGACACACACACACACACACACACACACACACACACACACACACACACACACACACACACACACACACACACACAGCTCTCTTACACATACTTGAAAGCAATCATATGCGTTGTCAAATTAAAATGTTGTTTGTGATGATGGTTTTGCTTTTATTTATCTGCTCAGGGGTAAATATGAAAGGAAAGCAATGCATTAAAATATATCCTCAACTGTGCATCCTGCTGTGTTTCTCTTTTATCATTCTTTAATGCCTCGATAACTTCAACACTCTTTGATTAACAAGCAGCGCGAGAGTCCGGAGCATCTTGACATTTATGCGCTGATCAAAGAGCGGCACGTCAATAGCCATCACGGCCTTACGTCTCATCGCAAACCTTTCCCCAATTTCACACGAAAGCTATCAGACAGTTTCTTTCTCTCTTTCACATTTTGTATGTAACGTTTCAACTTTTTACTTCTCTCTTTAAACCTGTCTATGAATTAAGTAAATCATTCTCAGAATAATCCCTGGAAGAAATCCAAGTACAAAATCGCAGGTAGAAAGAAGCTCTCTGGATGGCAGCTCAGAAGAGTTAGCTATTTAAAACCAAACTGAAGTGTTGGAATAACTTGAATAGTTAAAGATTGTTTGCAAACTGAAAACAGTCTGGCACGCCGCCTCGGTCTAGTTTTTAAAGAAGAGTTTTTGCTCTTTTCCTTTGCATTTGAAGGTTTGAAAGAGACTCGTTCCAATCCATTTTGCAGGGCCGGAGGGAAAGGTTACCTGCAGTGTGTGTGTCTTTCTGACTGATTTTTATAGTGCACCTGTCATCTCCTTACCCCTTGGATGTAAAGTGGGCTTTGAGTGGTGCTAGTGGGGGACAGATACTGGTTCTAGTCTTCTCCTTTCTTTTTCTTTTTTTCAAATTGTCAGCTCCTCATGAATTTTTTATTCACACGCAGAGACTGAGGGGTAGATTTAGACTAAAAAGGGGAGATGTTGATGGATATGAAATGGCTGTGTACAGTCACTCTGCTCCATGGTGTCTGTCAGTTTTTGTTTTTCTCTTTGTTGTGCTGTGATTTTGTCACTGTTGAATTCTATCTGTCTATGCTACATGCTTACATTAAAACCTGAAAAAAAAAATATATATGGTAACCAGAATGAAAAAGCCTGCCCCCCTTACCCCCTCCAGTCATGCACATGCATATGGCCAGTTAACCCTGCCCTATTATGACAAATTACATCCCTGCTATCTGTGACTTATACTTATTGGATACACGGTGCAGGCCTGCAGAAGTAGTTTTCCACCCACACATGACTTACTCTCATCAGGCTGCATCAAAGGTTAAAAACTTAATTCAAGCAAGTGACAAGCTCTGAATCATTTATAATGGCTGCCAACATTTTGACAGACTGGTGTAAACATCATTTCTGAAAGTCATCCCCACTCATACACACGCACACACCATGTCTTATACTTTGATTTGGCATAGGGAATTGAACGCAAACCTCAGTGTGAATGAGCCTACACAGGAGAGCTGGACTCTCACAGGTTTCTAAATAAAAACCTGTGAAGGTTTTGACCACGAGACAGTTCTGCACATGTGTAAGTTGGTGCATGCACAGGCTGTCTCTTCCCCCTTTGTTTGAACAGACACAACCTCACTTATTATGGATGATGGCACACATGTAGAGCAATGTTGCTAAGTGTCTCAACTAGGGGTGCACCGTTAACAATTTTCTGGCCTATCACCGATCTTTAAGAAGCTTGACCTGCCAATACTGATTTTGCCTGATACCTTTCTTTTTAACTGACAACGTAGCCTACGATGCTCCAATCTTATTTTAATGAAAAACATTAAACAATACAAACCTTATTGTGTTTGTTTTAACTGCTCATGAGGTAGTTCTCTCAAACATAAATGAAAAGTTGAGAATATTGCTGTCCAAACTACTAAATTATATCACTTCCTTTAGTCTTTTATTTTTCACATTTTAAAAATTAACAATACACTGCAGGCCTATTTTGAGCCTCTTACCAAAATAAAGTGCACAGCAGTATTTTGCTTTTACAAATACAGGAAATAACAAGGTTTGAGGAAGTTAGTAGAATAATAATCTACATGACAAACTAAACTGGTGGACGGGCCTGTCATTCTGGCAAAAGCAAAAAGCTACAACGGCTGAATTTCAGACCTTTGCTGAGGTAGATAAAATTAGTGGATAAAATCGGTTTTATGTGTAATGATCAGCCGATCAACGATCCCCCAAAATTGAGGAAATCGGCGCCGATTGGCCGGCCAATTTATCTGTGCATGTTTAGTATCAACGTGCATGAGTCTTGCACAGAAATGCATGCCTGAATACATGCTGTATACAGTCTAATGACTGTGAGAGTCCTGCGCCTCCCTGTACCTTTCTATAAATACATTAATTTGCAGGAGCCTGTGTGTAGAGTATGTAATAGGTTTATGTGTGTGTGTGCGTGTGTGTGTGTGTGTGTGTGTGTGTGTGTGTGTGTGTGTGTGTGTGTGTGTGTGTGTTGGAGAGCGAGAGAGAGAAGTCAGGAAGTCAATGAGGGCCCCCGAAGTCTGTTGGAATGCTAAATGGGGGGGATGGGCAACTGAGGTTCAGTCTGACAGAGAGGGAGAGTGAGAGAGACTCGCAGAGAGGGGTGGGGTTCTCCAAATTTAAGGACACACACACACACACACACACACTGAGCAGCCCTGTGTGTTTATACAGTATGAAACCTTCTCACAGATGTTCACTGTTTATATGGCCCTCATCAGCTCCGATTCAACCTTCTCTCTGAGCAGCTGCGCCAAAAACACACACACACACACACACACACACATGTATAACAGGCTGGAACTTGCTATTTTTAGTCACAGCCTTGGGTGATGAGGAAGGTAAGACTGCAGCAACAGGCAGAATAAAGTCTTTTGCTGAAAAAAAATCTAATTTGCACTATTCTGTGTTCATCTAACACCTTCTCCTCCTTCTTTCATCCTTTCTGACTGGAAATAATATTCACCCTGTAAGCCGATCGAGGAAAGGGGCGGGGGGGGGGGGGGGGTTCTAAATGAACTCGAGCCCTTTCCTCACCTGCTTTAGATAATACAGGGGTCCAAAAACTTCATCAGCATTCTCCAACAGCACGCTCTCTTCAAAAACGCCTGACACAGACTCTTTTTCTGCCGCTTTCTTTTTCATCGTACAGTTTTTTGTTTTTTTCTTCTTCTTATGTTGAACCAAGTTGGCAATCTGGGTCTGTTTTTAAAGGCTGATGCCAGTATCTGCTATTTGAGTCAGGATTTGGTGAGATGACTGACATCTTTCGTGGCAAAAAACCCCAAACTAAGTCCGAATGTCCCTCTGATATGGAGGGAAAGTGTTCATAATTCAAGTAAAATGCTGGTATTTTTACAGCTTTATATGCGAAGAGGGCCTCTCTATGAGATAAGACATATTGTTGCAGGACTTCAAAACCCACTTGCCTTTTAGAGTGTGGTATCACAATGCAGTGGCATCCACTAGTTGATAGTCATACTGTGATATCAGCTGTATTGTAGAATAATCTTCAAATACTAGAGAGAAAGTGATAGATATGCTGCTTGTCAGTAGAAATCACACTCAATATTGACCTGAACCATTGAATCAAGTCACGAAATTGAGGTCTGGAAATAGTCTAGAATACTGAATTGGATTATAAGTAGGAGGATTCATCTGATACTGCAGAGGCATGGTAGGATCTCAATGTACGGGCAACTTATCTAAAGAAACAGATGACGGCCATGTGTGTTTCATGTGTGTTCCAGTTATCCAGCTGAACGTCCAGAGCTCAGCAGCACTAAACTAATAAAGAAATGTGTGTTTTCAGTGTTTTGAATTTCAATGAGGCTCAGATGGGAGGAGAAGGAGGGGTGGGGTTAGGTAAAATTGATTTTCGGCTGAGTAAAAGCAGATGCAAGACGGCGAATGAGCGGGCACACACATGCACAGACGTCAGCAAGAATACACCAGCGCAATCACACACACACCCAGAGCGCTTGCACACTCTCCTGTATTCAGAAGAAGGTTAATTGAAGGTTATAACTGGGGAGTTGAAGACGAGAGGCTTTCAGAGTGAATGTGTGTGTGTGTATATGTGTGTGTGCTGGTGTGTGCTCACCCCCTTTTGCTTGACCTGACCTCCACTCCCCACTTGGTCTCTCTTTTTTTTCTCGCTCCCGCTCTCTTTCTCTGCCCTCTTCCGAAGCCCAGTTAAAATGTGCAGCCATGCAGATACCTACAATCTCATTAATTCAACCCATCGGCTATACTGCAGTGTTAGCTCTCTGGCCCCCTTCCCCAATATGCAAACACTCCCTCTAAAAGGTTAATATAATCTGTCGCTGCTGAGGTTAACTATCTGTGCGCACACTGTAAAAGATAATGTGTCAACACATCTCTCTGCCTGCCCTCTTTCCCCCCCCCCTCTCTTTCCACGGGTCTATTAATCATTGTAAAACTTTAAAAGTATGATGTTTTTGCTGAGTATTTCAATAAAAGATAAATTTATTCATTATTTGAATTTATACTGTTTTTTAATCCTGTTAGAAGGTGTCATGACAAAAATGTCCCATCCCACAAGATTGGGAATCTGGGGATTGGGGAATTCTGCTGTTTTTCTTCCATCATGCAAAAGTTATCTGTTGAGTCTTAAGCTCCAGGAAGACCGCCTAGCTTGCCTTGACCTGTGACCTTTCGGTGGAGCTGAAACAGGATACTTTCTTGTTAGCTTCCAAACAAGATATCTGTTTCATATTTAATCCTCTGTACATAAACAAGGATTTT